AAGACAAATATCATATTATAGAAATATAGAAGAATAAGGAATGTACTTATCAGATATATTATTAGACAAGAAGGTAGTAACAAAAATAAAAAATAGAGAAAATTTAGATTTATAAAAGAAAGAAGGAATAAATAATGGTATACTATAAAAAATAAATAGAAAAAACATAATACATTACGGAATAATGAATGGAGAACAACCAATTAGAATAGAACAAACAAATTATAATTTTCAAACACCATTAGTTAAAATAAATCAAATAAAAAAGAGACTAGAAAAATAAAAGAAGAAGATAGGAAAAATATAAGTTATAAACACAGTACAAATAATATTACGGTCAACATTTAGAGAAGGAATAAAGACACCTGTAAATATAAAAATTGGAGATAATAGAATTTTGCATAAAGAATCAAGAAAGTTAGGAGAAATAGAAGGAGATTTAGGGTATGGAGTAATTAAGTTTAATATATCATTACAATTTCCTATACCATTGTCGACCAAGAAAATTAATAACTGCATAGGAATAATGTGTAATTTTTAAGAAAAAACATTAATGGAATCGGTAGATATACCTATGGTTATTTGTTATAGAATAGCATATGCATTAAGTAATTGTAGTTTAAGTATGAAATATAAAAATTAAGAAAGAATATATACAGAAAAAATATTCAATGAAACCAGTACTATTATTAAAAATGATAGAATTCAAAAGAAATTTTTAAGAGAATATAGTAGACGATCATTTAGTAATCCTACAAATTTAGGAAAGCTAATTGAAAATAATTTATTAAAAATTCAAGAAATTGAAGAACCTCATAGTAGTAATAGTTTATATAAAAGGGACATAGAAATAGAAAAATTAAATAAACAAGTAAGTGAGTTAAGTGCATAAATAATAAATTTAAATAATAAATATAGAATTTTTAAGTGAGTTAAGTGCATAAATAATAAATTTAAATAAAAAAATATAGAATTTTTAATAATTGATAGGAGAGATATAAATCTTGAATTATATGAAATAGAAAGAAAGGGAATTAAAGAAGTAGATTATTTAATAAAAAAAATAATTCAATATAAATATATAAAAAAAGACGAACAATAATTAAAACAAATAGATTATAATACACAAAGTTATAAACAAAAGTTTAAAAAGTTAGTAAAAATAGGACCACCTAAAACAATAATATAAAGAATGGTATCAAAGCAAGACAACGATTTAAAAATAAAATGAGTACAAGAAAAATATATTTTGATATAGAATGGGAAATAGAAAATACAAAAATGAATATAACAAGGTATAGCATATTAAGTGAAACTATCGGTTCAGAATTTTATTATAGAACGTAGACAATATGTGAAGAAAAATTAGAAAGATTAATAAAATTACAAAAACAAGTAACAATCATAAAATAACATATAACAAAATCTAACAAAATAAAAATACAAAAATGCTACTGCCACACCATGGGGCACACTACCCATGTGGGTAGCATCAAATCTACCGTGTTAAACATGGGCGAAATCAGAAAATTAGTTGAGATTGAGCAAAAGACATGACATAATGAGTTCATAATCGATACTGAACCGATAACATTTCGATAACCGATTTTCGGTTACCGTTACACATAAGTCGGTTCGGTTTATTTTCTCATCAACTCGGTTTGGTTTGGTTTTCGATTTTCGGTCGAAAAATACCAGTCCTAGCCTAGGCAATAAAAGAGAGTTGAAGTCTTTTATATGAGCCAATTAAAATTGTAGAATGAGAATAATTAATATACAAAATTAATAGTAAGATAAAAAAAATGTTGAATTGTTAATTGACAATTGTGGACAAATTGGCCTGGTGAGTGACATTTAAAAATAAGAAATCTGGGAGTGCAAAATAAATTTAAAGGAGGAGCAAATTAAAATTTTTAATATTAATAATAAAAAAATTAAAATTTGAGAATGGACAATTGCCCCCATATTAGTACAGGGGCGAATTCGCCCCTTGTGTTAAACACCTAACCATCTTGTCATACTATTTCAATAAAATTACATATTATTTATGTTATTTTCAAGGTACCATAAATTTTAATGAAAATATGCACACTTATTAAACTAAGGTTTAACGTCTAATTAGTAATTATTTGGTTGTTTTAAAACTTTTTTTTTCATTGGAGCAAAGGTACTGAAGTTAACTTACTATTTTTTTATTTTTTATTTTTTGATTGGAAGTTAGCTTTACTATTAACACCAAAGTACCATTTTATTTTTGTTTAAAAAAAAAAAAAAAGATATCTAGGGTTTTTAGACTGCTTGTATAAAAGGGCATTCTAGCCCTCAAAATTACGCATCTCTCTCGAGCAATTGACAGTAATCAGGCGGCGTCTGAGAAGAAGGAAAATGGGGCACACAAACATCTGGAATTCTCACCCAAAGACTTATGGCCCTGGATCTCGCACTTGGTAACTCCATTTCCCTCGATCTCTGTTTATTGTCTTTTTTTTCCCTGTCTCGATTTTGTTTTGAATTTGTTCACGCATTCTGTTTTTTCGTTTTATTTCCCTTTTGTGTTCTTGTAATCGTATTAAACTTGAACGGCAACATTTGTATTCGGCTTCTGTTGTGGGTTTGTTGTTCTAATCGATATGTGTCGATTTGAAAACTGAGTGGTTTCTATTGGACTGCATTTTTCTTTTTCGTTCAGTTTGGGTTTGAATGTACTGTTGAAATTAACTCATAGCCGTTGGATTCAGATGCATGTGTCTGCAGCTTACAGAGTACTAATAGTTTAATGGAGTTGGATAATGGTGCTTCCGTGCTTAGTGTAGCTTATTCAATTGATCTTTTGCAATTAATTCAAAAAATATACGATTCTGAAAGTAAGTTCTTGGTGGGGTTTTTTTTTTCTGTGTGAAAGCTCGTTGCCTTTTTCTAATTGCTTGGAAGATGGTCTAATTCTGCCTGCCACCCGCTAACTTTTTCAATCTTATAAGTTCTCAATAAGAATTTTTTATTGAAAGTAGGGAAAAAAAGTTATAAGCTTCTCAGGATATAAATGGAGTAGGGGAATGGGTTGAATCAGGTTTGCTGATGTTGAAACCTAATTACAAAGTAGAAAAAGAAAGTTATAAGCTTCGAATGAAATGAATGGACTGAGGTGAACTCGGTCAGTGATCTATGCCTGGGCTCTAATAATCACGTCCTTGTGTTAGTTTTGCGTGTTATGATTAATAATTGTTTAGTTGGAATTTTTAACAGTTTATGTCCTATTGTTTTTTGACAGCCGTGTATGTGGTAACCCTCATGCTATCATCAGGAAGTATGGTTTGATGTGCTGCAGACAGTGCTTTCGTAGCAATGCAAAGGAAATCGGCTTCATCAAGGTATTTGTTTTGCTACCCTCTTATTTGGAATAAAATTTGTTTGTTATTGATTTTTTTTTGTGGTTCGGCTTCTTTCTGCTTGTGCAGTATCGTTGAGGTGTGGGATTGAGGTTTTATCACGACTTTCAGATTACTTTTTGGTCCTACTAATGTAGCATTTAAGTTTTTGCTTAGAATTGAATATCATGAGAAATGATTATCCTGCTCTTTCAATTGTCTTTTATCTTGTGAACCATTGAGTTATAATTATTTATCGATGTTTCATGTTTGAACTTGGCCTGGATTCAGTGAAAATGTGAACCTTGCTTATTAGTTTTGATATTATGCTCGACTGTAGCTTTTGTGGTAACTGTCAAATTGCATTTACCGAGCATCTAGTGTTCATGTTTGTACTGTATGATTCTTAAAATGAAAATTTGTCAGATTAAATGTTTTGGGTCAAGCTTCCGAGAGTATTAGATATCGACTTGTGGTTTCAGTATTTTATTTGCCAGAATTTGCAAAAGCTACAAAATGTCCTTAGTACTTAAAAAAGATCAATGTGGCAAAGCTCTAGCATATAAATGCTAGAAACATGATTTGAAAGAAAATTTGTAGAGTTCAGGAGCACCTTAAAGATAATTTATGTTGTAAACTTGTAATCCCCAGCATTAAAATGCAAGATTAGTTGACAGATGTTACCACTCCCGTCTTTATATCACACTTTGCATAAATAACATCATCTAACTAAAAAGGAGGTAATTGTAAAATCGAACACTCCTATCTTTACATCACTTTGCATACATATCATATTCATATAACCAAAAAAGAGGTAATTACAAAATCGAACACTCCCATCTTTATATCACACTTTGAATACCTAAAAACATTGTTGAATCTACGTTTACTTTTACAAATGGCCAATTACATAAAACGGTGAATCACACTCCAAACAATGTGATATATTGTACGGATACGATTAATTTGAGGTCGAGAAAAGAAAACATGTTGAATCTATGCATAATACACCATTCTACATATGTTTTCATAAAAGATGTCCAACTATATCATTATATGAGGCGTGCATCAATGATGTCTTTGAATTCTTGTGTGTAGGGGCTAATTCTACTTTACATGTATAGCAACAATGTTTCAAACCATTGGATCACAATCGCGTTCACACATCCTTACAAATGTATATTGATCCGATGGCTCTAAAAGATTGTACATCATTCTTCTCACCACCTCGTCCACACAAAACTTTTGTCATACTCATACATACATTATTCCACATGCCAACAAAAAACCATGAATTTTGATATCAACTAGAAATCATTTGATATCCTCATTCAATAATATATATTTTTAATAATAAAATTTCTATTAAGTTGGATTAACAATTAAACGACAACAACAACAACATACCCAGTATATTTCCAACAGGTTGGGGTCGGGGGGTCAGTTGTACGCAGACCTCACCCTTGTAATTATACAAGGAGGCTGTTTCCGTAGCGACCCAAGGTGCGCCGTTTGATATATTTTTTCTAAATTAAAATACCATACTCTAAATTAAAATATCATACAATTAAACAATTATATTTTTTCTAAATTAAAATATCATACTCTAAAAAACAACACACGATGTTTCATGTCATAAANAGTATAACACATCAATCAAAGTATCCAACTAACGATTATTATGCAATTTTCATATAATGATTAGTGATTTCCTAAAAACGATTATATGGATAAAATTGCAATTATTCGATATCCAATCACACTAACCTCCCCATACCATGTAATCTCCAACTCGTCACCTGATTGGTCCTCCGGATATTCCCCTTACCATATCATGGTCCCAACGCACATATTTCCATTACTCCCCTGTTGACTTGTTGACTTTTCCATGGCGCGACTCACAGACACACACAATGATATAAATTCCAAACAAAACGAATAAAATAATGAAATAAAATAAGAAGATATAGCAGAACCAGCTAATCTCATTATCATCATCATCATCTCCCCCAAGTCTGAAAAAATCTCGACCACATCGTACTCTCAGAAGTTTCTCCCACTATGGAGATGTCGCTAGCCTCGGTGGCTCCGAAACCGGCTCCGGCGGCCTGGCTCTGGAGCCGCGACGCCGTCCTGCCGGCGGGGGTGATGGCGATGGTGACGATGAAGAAGAGGAGAAGGGAGGAGAGGTGTTATTGGGTGGCGAGGGCCGAGGGAAACGGCGGAGGAGAGGCGGTGGAGGGCGGCGGGAAGAGGGAGGGAGGAGGGTACACGGTATCGGGCATGGAGGTGACCACGTTCAATCAGAGCTTTAGCGATGGCGGTGGTGGTGATTTTCCGGTGTGGGATAAAATTGGAGCTGCTGTTAGGTTCGGCTATGGAATCGGTTGGTTGCGATTTNTTATTTTGACTCTTGTGTATGTTTTGCGAAATACAGCTGAAAAGCTAGCTATAGTTGCTTATAAGATAAATGACAATCATAAGTTAATTTAAGTTAATTTTGAACGGATAGCTGATAGATTGTGGTTGATGATTGAACAATTAACTCATATAATTAATGTGTTTGGTAAAATTAGCTTAGATAAACAAGAATCTCGATAAGTTTTCTTGAATGCAGTGAGATTGGCACTTGAGCTTTTGAAGAAAATCCATACTACCAAACCAAACTATAAGTTAAAAAGCTTATGGTGGTTCCTTTAATAAGTTCAGGAGAGATTAGTTGTATACATTTATTTTGTTGCCTCTGTATAAGTGTCATTTTTTAGTAAATTGAGGGGTTTGGCCTGGTGGGAAAGAGCTAAAAATGAGGGGTTTGACTATGAAATTTCTATGAATGCCATGATTTCAAAAGTTTAAGGAACACAATCTGATTCAACTCATATGACAGCCTTCAGTTTTACTCTATTGCAATCCCTTGTAAATTCGGTGAAAATTACAGGGAAAAATCTTCTCGTGTCTGTGATTTTATTTCTGCGTCTTTGTAGAGAAGCCTGTGGAGCAGTTATTCTTTGCTGCTCTTATGTTTTCTTGTTCAGCAGTTCGAGAATGCTTTATTACAGACACTTGTCTGGTTCAATTTTCAAACTGTGCCTGGTTTTTCAACTTTTAGGAATATACGGTGCAATGGCTTTGGCGGGAAGGTTTATATGCTCGATTTCTGGAATCGATTGCAATGGAGGATTTCATCCATCGTTAGATTCTGTTGTTGAAGGATTGGGATATGCAGCTCCTCCAATTATGGCCCTTCTCTTTATACTAGACGTATGGATATTTTTTATTTTTTTTTTGGGCTCTGTAATTTTTTATTTTTTTTAAAATTCTTTTACATAAAGGGAGAACTTTGATAACCTGTGATATAGGATGAAGTTGTAAAGGTATCTCCTTATGCTCGTGCAATTAGGGATGTCGAGGATGAAGAGTTACGGAGCTTTTTCTACGGAATGTCGCCATGGCAGGTACAGAGTTTTTGCTAGAAAACCTCTTTCATTTTTTCATTTTATTATTTTCAATTTTTCAATAATTGTGCATACTTTTAAATTGAAATATATAAATAGAAGTATGACATTTTGTAACATAAGCATACAGTTTTATTATAAAAGTATGACGAGACAACCCGTCTAACAGTTAGACCGTCTCGTACAAGAATTTGTATTATTGTTACATTTTATGTTCATTATCATTTCTTGTTCACTTCACTTATTATTATTGCAGTTTATGCTAATTGTTGTGGCAAGCTCTGTTGGAGAGGAGCTCTTTTACCGAGCTGCTGTTCAGGTTCGTATAAGTCTTTACACACATTTACAGGGCTTTCTTGATTTGTTATATGTATGGTTTCCAAATGTTCTTAAATTGTACAATGATTATTGCTAATTTGATTTGAATACTCTTTTTTTTTTTTCTTTCATATTTATTCATCTCTTTAGGGAGCTGTAGCAGAAGTATTTCTCAAGAGCGGTGATCTGTTTGATGATGCTCGAGGAATGGTCTCACTGGTAAGAGATTAATTGAGCTTTTACTCCCACTGTTCACAACAACTTTTCTAAAAAAAAATAAAAATAAAATAAAATAAAAAATAAAGACAATAATAACGAAAAATAGTTTACAGAACATTTTTTCTTGATGCAGGCCGGTCTACTACCTCCATTTGTCCCATTTGCACAGGCATTTGCTGCTGCTATCACTGCTGCTTTTACCGGCTCGTTGTATTACTTGGCTGCCTCTCCCAAAGGTTTGTTTCTACACTTTTCCTTTTTTTTTTCTTTCCCGAAAAGACTTCTCCCGAGTTTCTCAAACATATCGAATTTCCACTCTCTTTTTCAGACCCAACCTTTGTTATTGCACCCGTGCTGAAGTCGCGCTCCAGTCGTGATGATCTAAGAAAGCTCTTTGCAGGTTAAATCTTTCACTCAAAACACGTTCTAACGTGTATTCTTTCCATCATTATTCCGGCAAAATTGCATTTTTAGTCCTGCTAGTTTATCGTCATAGCAATTTTAATCCCAAGTTCAAACATTTTGTTTTTTTGTCCTGTGATTTAATATTTTGCTGCAATTTCGTCCTCCGAGAATTGAATTCGCAACAAATTCTCAGATTTTCGATTAGCAATTTAAGTCTTGTGATTTAAAATTTTGTTGCAATTTCAGTCCTTTGAGGACTGGACTGAAATTGCAGCAAGTATTAAACCACATGATTAAAAGGCAAAAAAGTTGGAATCTTGGGACTAAAACTGCTATGGCGTTAAACCAACACGACTAAAACTGCAATTTTTCCCCATTATTTCTAACTGACTGACAAACCTTTTGCAGCCTGGTATGAGAGGAGACAGATGAAAAAAATATACTCCCCTCTATTGGAGGCACTTTTGGCGCTTTATCTTGGATTTGAATGGATTCATGTAAGTTTCGAGTATGTTTACTGAGTACTTTTTTTTTTACCTTTCGTTTTACCATGCCAGCTGGCAGCTGGTGGTGATTTGAATGGAGCTTGTGCATGTTGAACAGACGAACAATATCCTTGCGCCTATTATAACGCACGGAATATACTCTGCCGTTATCTTGGGACATGGCCTTTGGAAGATTCATGATCATCAGAGGAGGCTGCGCGAACGAGTTCATAAGCTTAAAATCGAGGCCAAAGCTTCAAGAAAATCGTGAGATCTGCTCAGATGGGAGGATTTTGTATTAAACCAGAATAGAAACCTTTTTTTTTTTCATTTTTTTTTTCTAACAATGCTGTAAAAATTTCAATGTTGTCATACAAATGTATCGAACAAAGTAAACTAGCCAAATATATAGAGATATAGCATGTGTAGAGATGAGCTTGTATATATATCAAACAGTACACGATTATTTAGTGTATATTATATGAACTTGTATCAAACAATCACATCTGATAATTTTTTCCTTTTGAAACATAAAATAATTCGACTTGGCTAAACAAAGGTAGATCCGAAAACTTCAACTTTCACACTTGGAGTAGCTTATTCAAATCCACAATTTAGTTATTTAATTGGATCTACTTATTATATATGACCAAAATACGCAGGATATTCAAAAACTACTATTTTTCCACAATAAAAAGTCAAATAACTCTCCCGATCTGGACCCATTTGGGAATTAATAATAGACCAGATCAATATTCAGGAGGAATATAAACATAAAAAGTGAGACCACAATCACAATTTACGAAAGGTATCTAACACATTCAAGTGACAAAATAGTANATCATAAGCATTATAATTTCTTCAATGAAGCAACTTCCAAACTACAGGTAAACACCAAAAAAGGTCATAAACAAACCTAAAACCCTTGATTACAAAAACAAAGTCATAAACCCACAAAATACAGCTTTCACAACACACACACACACACACACACTCAAAAAAATTAACACAAACTGCTCCAAACGGCCACATATTCACCAGAACATCGACAATTGAACTTCTCACGGGTCGAAAACATCAGATTTAAAACTGACCCAGAATTTTGATCACAGAAATGAAGCAAACGGCGAGAAATTTACCATATCACGAGGGTTGGCAGCCACGATCGTCTAGTTTTTATTTTGTTTTCTTTTTAATAATAAAATAATTATTATGCCACGATCGTCTAGTTAAACAAATTGTGATAGAATAATTAATACAAACATAAGCTAGTCAGCTCGAACTTGAATACGCTAATACGAGCTCACAAATAGGTACAATAGTTGTTGGAAAATACCAATATCGAAATACACGAAAATCCTACTGAAGTATATTTTTCAGTTCTTACAATTGAACTGAAATTAGAAAATTACAATGAAATTGAAATTAAATTACAACTTGAAAAATGAAAAGATTAAAGTCGAGACCAGTTAACTATTTCCACAAGACGAATACGCCTCTTATTATAGTGCTGACAGTTCAAGCATATCGTCCCAATGATACAACGGTAACTTCTTGAAGACTGTAGCACACCAATCTGACGATTTCCAGCAAACTATAATGGAGTTGAGAGCTGAACACATATAAATTAGAACGACTAATATAAATCTCATTTTTTCTTTTTATTTTTATCTCAACTAGTACGTAACCCCGTGCGATGCACGGGCTGTATTTATTTTGGTAAAATTTATAATTAAAGACTATTAATCAATAAGTTATAATACGTAGAGCATGTCAGATAATCATAAAATGTTCATCGTGACAAAATTATATATTATTAAATTCTCCTTGTTTTTCCATGCAAAATTATTTTGCACTTGGCAACTGTAGATCGATATTTACCAAGATGCTTTCCACTTGGTAATTGCAAATTGCATAGACACCTCATTTTTCTAATTATTTGTTGATTTTTGGATTGTTAACACCACGAAATAAAATTATAGTGAAAATATGGATGTGATAAATACTAACGATATGATTTACTGGATGAAGTTTAATTTTTGATATAATATAAAAAAAGTTGTTACCATAAAGTGTAGATTTTGAGTATTTTTTTTTTATAATGATTTAACCTTATTTTTATTTTATATAGATTTTATAAACCATCCACGCATTTCATATCCACAAATTTTACAAATATTTTTATAAATTAAAACTTTCCATGTATGCTGCTTCTAGAGAAATGAATACAATAAAACTCGGGTTATTTATCCTAAAAGCTCATTTTTCTTATGATTTAACTGCATATTTCACATTGTGCATCCTAGATAATTATGAGAAGAAGATTATTAGTGATAACAGAAAAGATTTGCGTATAAATCAAAATCAATAATTAATTTTGGTAAATCGGAAACGTTATATTATTAGTTATATTATTATATTATTAAATTATTTGGTATACCTATCTTTTTTCGGCAGATTAATAATATTATATTATTAAATTATTTGATTCTATAAATATAGGGTTTTATAAGGATATTGCTATGTTAAATTAATAGGCATTTGGAACATAAAGTTGGATCTTACGGAAATTTTAAATTGATTACACTCTTTGTTTTGGCAGAATTATATTATTATAATATTATATTATTTGATTCCATAAAAACCGGGAAATGCTTCCATAAACTATTAAATCAGTTGATTCCATAAACTGATCACAATTAATGCTCTGATATTTGTTATCCCGAATTATCTAAAATATTATATTTTAGGAGGTAATTAATGCAAAATGGCGGGAAAATATTAATGTAATTGATTTAAGTCTAACTTATTTTATATACATAGATATAGATAATTTGATTGATGTAAATTTTGTAAGGTTTTCAATTTGTTTTTGGTTCGCATGAATTTATTGGCTTTGTTTTCGAGTATGACCATATATGGTGGGAATATAATTCAATACTATATATGTTGGGACTTCTGTTTATCCAATTTTTGAAATTGTTGTGGTAATAATTATGCGATTTTGTTGGATGATAATTTTAACCACAAATTTGCATGATCTGGCTTTGAAATGTGTGGGTTGAATTTATTTTATTGTGATAACAATAAAAAAAATTGATTTTGATTGCCTCTCTTATAGTAGGAAATATAAATTTCCAAAAATCTTTTTATTGTGGGTTCATTCTAATGATTTCCGTGATATTATTTTCTTGGTGATAATTATACACAAGTTTTATGGGGAAGTATTGTTATCATCTTAATAATATCATACAAATTATGTAATTAACGATTTAATTAAATTGAAATGTTGTTATGTAGTGTTTAAAAAAGTCATGTAAATTGAAATTTTGTTTGTAAATTTTAAAAGAATTCGGAGATTCTTGTACGAAAAATAATGTAAGTTTTAACTAATTTGTTGCTTACTCAAGGTAAATGAATAAAAATTAGTGTCATATTCATTTAGATTGAATTGTTGTTATGTATTGTTTTTTTTTTAAAAAAAAAAATGGGCATATTAGTAATGTATGCTTTTAGAAATTGGAAAACCATGTAAATTCGCATATCAGTTAGTTCCACATTTTATATAAAAATTCTGAAAATAAATTAAGAAACCCATGTATACTGAAATTTTGTTTGTAAATTTTGATAGAATAGCATTGATTGTTGTACCAAAAAAAATGAAAGACTCCATAACAAATAGATATTCTTTCCAATTGATAAATCCGATTTTATTGGTACACTAAATAACAACCTTAATTGGATAAGGCTACAACTGTGATTTTAGAATAGATTTCATTAATTGCAATTGTTAAGGTATGTTAAATCTAATCATTATTAATGCTTATAAAGACTTGTCCAATATTACTATAAATAGAGTGTAATTAATGCATGGCGGGAAAAGATTTCTAAAAATGATTTAAGTTAATTCTTATTATATTATATATACTAGTACGAATTCCGTGCGATGCACGGGTAAGAGATATTAATTAATATTTATAAATTAAAATTCTAATTAAATAATATTTATAAATTAAAATTCCAATTAAATAATATTTATAAATTAGAAACATGAAATAAATATGCAATACAATGTACCTATATAATTTATTGAAAATGTTATATAAAATTTCAATTGTTCAAAATTATATAAAAGTATCTATTTAAATTAGGGTACATCTCGTGCGTTGCACATAACTGATACTAAATTACATTATATTTATTTCAAAATATGTGTTATTCTAATTTTTTTTTATTTAGAAATTCGATTTGACTATAACGTGATTCCGTAAAATAATTATTTTGGTAAAATTTTATCACCTATGTAAATAATAAATATAAATATAAAACTTATTTTGTTTAATTAATTAAAATAAATTTATTTTTGTATAGAATATCTAAATCAAAAAATTTAAGTAGTTGAGTAAAAATAATCAGTCATAATTTTTTTTTATTCCAAAAAAATCGACACTCTTTATCATGCTAAAAAAATGAACAGTGCATTTCACACAAAAATTATTTGAAATGTCGTAACAAAAAATAAATTAAATCGAGACCCATTAATAATACAATAAAAAAATTGTCCGGAGTTTTTTCTATAAAAAAAATATCGATACACGAACATTATATCAAAATATGAGTTCAAATTATTTTGCCGGAGGTACGGTAATTTTATTATGTTAATTTCGTACGAAAAATTGAAATAAAAATTGAAACCCACACCTAAAACAGATATACTAGCCTGCGCATTACAAAAAAAATTACACCGTATATTGATTCGTTTTTCAACAAATTTCCTACAAAAAACAGTTATCAAATAACCTAAGTAAATTCGCATATCAGTTAGTTCCACATTTTATATAAAATTTCTGAAAATAAATTAAGAAACCCATGTATACTGAAATTTTGTTTGTAAATTTTGATAGAATAGCATTGATTGTTGTACCAAAAAAAAATGAAAGACTCCATAACAAATAGATATTCTTTCCAATTGATAAATCCGATTTTATTGGTACACTAAATAACAACCTTAATTGGATAAGGCTACAACTGTGATTTTAGAATAGATTTCATTAATTGCAATTGTTAAGGTATGTTAAATCTAATCATTATTAATGCTTATAAAGACTTGTCCAATATTACTATAAATAGAGTGTAATTAATGCATGGCGGGAAAAGATTTCTATAAATGATTTAAGTTAATTCTTATTATATTATATATACTAGTACGAATCCCGTGCGATGCACGGGTGAGAGATATTAATTAATATTTATAAATAAAAATTCTAATTAAATATTATTTATAAATTAGAAACATGAAATAAATATGCAATACAATGTACCTATATAATTTATTGAAAATGTTATATAAAATTTCAATTGTGCAAAATTATATAAAAGTATCTATTTAAATTAGGGTACATTTCGTGCGTTGTACATAACTGATAATAAATTACATTATATTTATTTCAAAATATGTGTTATTCTAAATTTTTTATTTAGAAATTCGATTTGACTATAACGTGATTCCATAAAATAATTATTTCGGTAAAATTTTATCACCTATGTGAATAATAAATATAAATATAAAACTTATTTTGTTTAATTAATTAAAATAAATTTATTTTTGTATAGAATATCCAAATAAAAAAATTTAAGTAGTTGAGTAAAAATAATCAGTCATAATTTTTTTTTATTCCAAAAAAATCGACACTCTTTATCATGCTAAAAAAATGAACAATGCATTTCACACAAAAATTATTTGAAATGTCGTAACAAAAAATAAATTAAATCGAGACCAATTAATTATACAATAAAAAAATTATCCGGAGTTTTTTCTATAAAAAAAATATCGATACACGAACATTATATCAAAATATGAGTTCAAATTATTTTGCCGGAGGTACGGTAATTTTATTACGTTAATTTCGTACGAAAAATTAAAATAAAAATTGAAACTCACACCTAAAACCGATGCGCATTACAAAAAAAAATTACACCGTATATTGATTCATTTTTCAACAAATTTCCTACAAAAAGCAGTTATCAAATAACATAAGTAAATTTGCTCATTTTATATCATATATTGATTCATTTATGTCCCATAGAAAGAACCATCATTACCAAAATTAAATTTGTCCACTATATACCATATATTAATTAATTCACATGATTTGAGTAATTAAGGTATTTGAAAATATGACTTAATTTCTCTCTTAAATATTGAACCGCAATTTTCATAAGTGATCATTTTAAATATATCATAAATTGTCAAATTAATTTTTTAAAATAATAAATAATTGTTTTTAAAGAAAATAATTACTATTTAAAAAATAATCAAATCTTTTTATATAGATGTAAATATAGATATAAATATATGGATTCCCATTTACTCATGTTACACAATTTTTTCTCGTTCTGACTATGTTTTGCAACATCACACATATAGTGCAAGTGGTGCTAATCCAGTGGGCAATTGTTATAGTAAGGCAAGTGAAATTGAGGGCATGTTGATACAGAATTATTTTTGTTCGTTTGATCAATATCATTGCTTCANTAATTTTTAAATTTTAAAACATCTCATTTGAGCTCATGATTAATTTGTAAATAATTTAACACTAGTAGTTATTAGGCTTTTAAATTAAAAGATGATATATTACATTGGTGTAAAGAAAATACCAGTAATAATAGAATTTCTTTTTCCCCACGAAGCATCTCTTTAGCCTTATAAACAACATAACAGTACTGATGAAAACCCAGAGACTCGAGATTGCTTTGGTTCTCCGCTTCAGCTAAAACCTCTAAAACCCCTCATCGAAATTCGCCGTTTTTTGAAGAGACAGCAAATGAATGAAAAAAGTGCAGAACCCAACAACAAAGAGCTCTACGCTCTGCTTCACATATCGCCGGAAGCATCCGATGAAGAGATTAGAAAGGCTTATCGTCAGTGGGCTCAAGTCTACCATCCTGATAAATACCAGTCGCCGCAAGTACAAATTATTAATCCATTTTTTGTTTTGTTATTTTCTGACAGTGTTTTGTCTCAACACTCCACCCCCTTTTATTCTTGAATGATTCTGTTGTGAAGAACTAATTTTGTTTGTCCGTGAGTAGCATTTTTCTCATATTCTATCATTTGACTCTTAGCTTGTCAATCTCTTGATGTGAACAGTCTGTTTTTATTTTGATAATCTTCATTGTCTTTTATTCTATGCTTCCTCTATTGCTTTTTAATTTTTTGAATGAGGGTTGAGGATTAGATTAGTATCATGTACTTTTTTATACTTGAGTTGCATTTTCTTGAGTTTGATAGGTGGATGGCTTTGATGGGTTATATACTTAAAGTCATTCTCCCAACTAGAATCATCTGAGGTTGCATTGTGATAGAAACATTTGTACATGATGGGAGGATTTGAATGGCATTTCAAATGTCAGTAAGATGGATTTGCATCATACCGTAATGGTTAAAAGGGTGGTTAAAGATTGGAGTAAAAGGGTCTGATTATACAATTATAAGATTACCCAAATATCATCAATGGGAAAAAAACAAGAGTTTCTAGGTGTCAGTCCAATATCACCATTTCCAATTTTGGGTAGACCTGGATTGTGACTTTGCCTGGCTGTTTAACTAATTACTGATTAATGTTTCTCAAAGGTTCTAGATTGCACCATGTTCGAAAATTGAAAAAAAGGGGGTAATTTATTTATCCCTCACTCTTTAATGTGGTGGCATCGATAGCATAGTTAATTGATTTCCCACTTCACTAAAAAATTTTAACGTCTTACAATTTTCTTCTTCAAATTCATTTTCTTTTAGGATTAGAAAAGCTGTTAAAGTTATTGTTATACTATATGAGTTGTTTAATGCATCGTCTTGTTTCCTTGGTTCAGATGAAAGAAATCGCAACAGAGAACTTTCAACGAGTATGTGAAGCTTATGAGGTTTTAACAGATGAAAACAAAAGGGTGATATATGATATCTATGGTATGGAGGGACTAACTTCTGGTCTGGAGCTTGGACCTAAACTGGACAAAGTCGAAGAGATCAAGGAAGAACTTGAGAGAATGCGGCGTCAAAGGGAGCACGATAAGGTCTTGGCACATGTTCGACCTTCTGGTTCGATTTTGGCACATTTGTCGTGGCCTAATTTTTTAGATGGTGGTGGCCTTATGAAAGGGTACGAGCCTTCCTTCAGTTAAATTATTATTATTATTATTATTATTATTTTTTTTTTTTATTATTATTATTATTATAATTATAATTATTTATGTATGTCAGTCTGATTTAACAAGATGTTTTGTGGTGTATCTTGTTCATGAAGTGTCAAATATCAGATCACAAAGGCACTTCATGTTCATGAGTCATCACATGAAGACTCTCATCATTTAAATGTTTATGCTTTGTTCATGACATGAATTCAGTCTAGATATTGTGCATATCCGTGAGAGTGGTAGATTTTTGCTCACTGAATGCTTAATCTGCTGCATATTTGTATTGTACGTGCCAGTCAGCCCTCTTCTGGTTTCTGAAAATTTGTAGTCTTATCATTGCCTATTTTATATCCCAAATATTTTTGTAATTCCAGCATTTCATGTCCATTAATTTAATGTAATTTAAATAGTAGCATGATGTTATCAATCTCATTGTTGGTCTTATCCAATAGGAAAGTGGCTTTTACACTTACAGTCTTCTTGCTATGATTTCACCTTTCTAATATATTGATGCTAAAATGTCAGGATGGCCATGGCCAGTCAAGTTCAATCTCAAATATCAAAGCGCAATTCTCTTGCTATTGGTGGGAATTTGGCCGTTAATTCAGATTCTGGTATGGGTGCAGCTACCATTGTCCTTGGGCACCAAATATCTCCAGTTTCTTCTGCAGAGTTCATGGGTTCCATTGGTTTGCAGTCATTAATAGGACTACAAACTACTCGGTAGAATCGTGATCTTTTTTTCAAATTTATTTATTTTTTCTTCAATCAATTTGGATGCCTTGAGTTTGATTTTTATTTCTGCTTTTAGCCAATTGTCTGTCAACTCCAATGCAACAATGGGCATTACCATGTCTTTGAGAGACGGCTCAATTAATCTTTCAAACACCTGGACCCGTCAACTCTCAGAGACTACAAATGCAAATGTGAGCTTTTTTTTTTATTGCCAGAATTTGTTTTCTCCTTCATACGTGAAGAATTTGGTATAGTTGGATAATTGGATGCCACAGTGTTCTAGTATGATTTATGTTGGCCGACTCCATATGAGATGGATTAAAAGAATTCAATTACTTATGTGTAGTGTCTCATTTCTGAGGATTTGCTGTTTTGCATCTTACAGATACAGCTCTCTTTAGGTCCAGAGTCATCTATAGGTGTCGGTTGGAGAAAGAAAGAGCAAAAGATGTCTGCTTCAGGAGAGATTAAGGTAGCTTTTCTTGGAATGCGTATCTCTTTTTGATAGAGAAGTTTCAAACTTATTTGCATTTTACTTCCGATGCTTCAAAATTTTCGGCTTCCACCTGTTGAGCTTAATAATTTCTTCCAAATATTTCCCTTTGCCATTATTTGGTCAAAATCAGTCCACCTCTATGATTATACCTGGCGTGGTTTCCTGATTGTTACATTTTATAACTCTTAATTGTTTGAAAGAAAAATATGTTAAAACAAATTTTATTTTTTAAGATTAATTTAAAGTTAGTACATGTTATGTTAACATCTTTGTGGATGTCTTAACAGTACTTTGCAATCCTTTTTTATGTTAACAGAGTTCTTGTTTGATATTTTCTTTTCTTATTGTACCTACTCTCTTTTGTAGTTTGGCACCAGTTCATTTGGCGCAAATGCTCAGTATACTCATTTCTTTTCCTCTAAATCACATGGTCGGATTGCAGGCACAGTTGGAAGGTTTCTTTCCTGTCTTCTGTTTATTTGAGACTTATCCATTGCTAACTATAGTTTCCATTAATAGTCATATTTTGAAACTATATTTAACATTCTGGAGGTATGTTTTAGCTTTTAATAAAGGCAGTGGCATGCACAAGTGTAGCAGCCTATATATTTTCAAAAGAATAGTATGTCATGTCAAAAATAACAGTTCGCCATGTTCATGAGAACGCATTATTTGTAATTAAGATTATAACTTCCCAAATATTATGCTCATATTTTTTCTTTTCATGGGGTGGTTGGGGGTTGGTACGGGGAATAACCACATGAATCTCAGATTTTGAATGCTTCAAGTTGTTACTGAAAGAATGAAAGGCATTTTTCATTTTTATGTAGTAATGTAGTGAATGAAAGAATGAAAGGCTTTTTCCATTTTTATTGCATATGCTAATGAATATTGCAGCATTCAGAATTTCAGAAACTGTTCAAATGGTTGTGCTGTTGCAGATCAAACTCTGACATTACTTAATAATTAAACAATTTTCAGTAGTTCACTTGCAATCGAAATTGGAGGTGGAAGAAAGATATCTAAATTCAGCACTGTACGGATGCTATATTCGATAGGAATTCAGGTACGCATGCTAAATATAACTTTTTTTTTGGTAACATTTGTGTTGTGGCTCACTCCCACCTTTCCATTTTCAGGGACTTACTTGGAAATTTGAATTGCATCGTGCAGGGCAAAAATTGGTTATTCCTGTAAGTTCATTCTTGAACATGTATATATGCTCAAGCATGTAAAATTGAATAATCTTGAGGAATAAGATTCTTCTTAAATCATAGTTTTATGCGCTTTTTCCGTAAACAATTATTACGAATAGTTTTGATCTTTTATGCCTAAAGCAAATCATATATTCATCTACACCCATTGTCATGACTAGAGTGCAACCAGTTTACCTTCAAAAGTTTTGGGTATTTCTGATATTTTGCACTAGAATTGTTTCCTTTTTTCTTAGATCAATATTATTAATGTAACTTGTATTTGTACTCAAAACTTTTAACACAAGTAATGTCATAGATCCCTAAGTAGCATGTGAACTATGTGATCTGTAACTTAATATCATTCTGAATCCTTTCCTTAATTCTAATATACATGTTGCGTTTGCTTGCAGATATTGTTGTCTAGTTATCTTGATCCAGTTTTTGCTACCGGAGCTTTCATCATTCCCGTATCACTTTATTTTGCTGCCAAGGTTTGGTTATCATCTCAAGTGATAAGTCCATTATAGTAGTTTTGCATGAAATGTATTAAATATCGAGTCCCGGTGTATGTATATGTATCATTACTTGAAATATAATCCACAATATTGATGCCGTCTCAAATAGGTGAAATGTATCATATTTATATAAATTTTACAATATTTATTATTGTTTTTATTTTATTGGAGTATATTGACATAATTCCATGAAAGAATGTGTTAAATCGTTATAAAGATTATTAATTAATAAATCTCACATTACAATGCTTATTATTTAATAAATCTTTTGCTATTCTGTTTATGTGAATACATGTTAAGCAGAAACTGTAACATCCGCATTCTGGAAGACTAAATGGGGTCTGTTTTGAGATGCAACCGTTTTTGCCTGCATTTCTAATGCATCATTCTTTTAGTATCAAAACAGTAAATACTTTATTACATATATTACAGTCCATTCGCCAAAAGCATATGTGGTTATTCTTACTGATGCTTTAACTGAGGGATTACCAGTTGCTAGCTGCTTTCCTAATTTGCTTATCATTTTCTTCTGGTGTGAATTAATATCGATTGACTTGCTTGCTTGTTGTTTGGTCCTTTTACTGAGTATATACATTATTACCTCAGCTTTTGATGCTCGTTGATTCCAATTTCTATACTTGCAGAACTTAATTTTTAAACCGTATTACCTTAAACGGGAAAAGCAAAAGGCTTTGGAGAACATTGAAAAAACTCAAGGCCAGGTACGTTGTAATAGTCTTGTGAATTCGTTAATTTTTATGGTTTAGATTCCATTTCTTCACAACATAAAGGAATATGTGATGGTAAAATAAAACCTCTTCCGAACCACCAAAATAAAGTAAAAAAAAAGAGGGAAAATGACTTAGGCGAAAGAAATCTGTATGTTGCTAATAGATATTCACTGGCATCGGCTAATTTTATCACTCACAATTTACTGCTTTTGCTGAGAAAATCATGTTCCAATTTCTCTTTTTTTCGGGTACTTTTTTATTTTGTTCACAGGTTCAAGAGTCACGGGCTGCAGCCAAGAAAGCTCAACAGTTATTGAAGAATGTTGCGAACAGGAAACAAAATAAGCAACTTGAAATCGGTGGATTGGTTATTGTCAAGGCAGTTTATGGGAACAGTAAATCTATTTCGAACAGAGAAAATTCTGAAGAAACTGAAGACGAAGAGGCATCACAGATCATAGATGTCACAATTCCTCTTAACTTTCTCGTTAATGATTCTGGTCAACTCAAGGTTTTTTTTTTTCAATTATTTTTTTTATTTTTTATTTTTTTGCAACTCAAGATTTGTTTATTTTGCATTCTTTTTTGTGCAAATCTCGTATTCTTTCGGCAGTTAACTCCTTTCAGCAATGTTTATTTTGCAGCTACATGAAGGTGTGAAGAAATCGGGAATTATGGGATTTTGCGATCCTTGTCCGGGAGAAACTAAACAGTTGCACGTGGAATATACGTACGGTTCATCCAGATATGAGGTAAGCGCCAGCTAAGCCACTATTCTTCCGTATTATTATTTTTTTTTTTCTCGATTTTAAGGTTAATGTCGGAAAATCGACTATACTTTCGATACAGGTAACAGTTGGTGATAGTGATGAGTTGCAAATACCACAGGAGAGGCACAAAATCTAAAATTCTGGTGAGGAGAATATGCTGAACAGAATGAGAATCTCTTTCGTTATATCTTTTTGAGAAAGTTGAACAGTTGAAGAGACTTTTAAAAGTATATTTGTAGCACAGGATTAATAACTTTCTGACCCTTTTCATTTGCTGGTTTCCATTTTTTTGCCCCATTTTCTTGCAAAATTTTGTTTGGTAATGTTGTTGTTACCTTCTATTTGTCGACAAACGTTGAAATGGGGTGACTCGTCATGACCGTATTTTTTCGCATTCTTTTTTCTCTGTATGCGCAATGGTCTTGCAGGTTTTCTCTATTATAATTGGTTCATTTTTTTTTAATTATTATTATTATTATTTTCATGTTTTCCCCCTTGCTGGTTTTAGGTTAGGAAAAACCATCACGAAATATTACAGCAAGAGCTGAACAGTATTTTACTTTAAGATGTGATTTGTTTATTTGTTCCAATGGTATGAAAAGTATCCATCGTCATTGTTGGGATTAAGTAAAATTTATTTAGTAGTAAATGCTTATTTGACGTAAAAATTGATACAAAACATGACATAAGAGATGGGTATTTGAAAAGGATTGGTTTTAAAGGGTGATGTTGCGATTAAAAATAATGAGATTGTCACTTGTATAAGTGATATTGTGCAAAGTAATGAAGTTAGGATGGCATCAATATGCAAGTCAACTTTTTTTTTTGGTACAATAAAGGAGGTCAAACATTGTTTTAAACGTGAGGGATTGATTGGATATAAGGCCCTGATTGTTATTTATTTGGTCACTTTTGGTCAAATACATAATTTTTAACTTAAAATCGAACTTAAACCTAATACAATCGAATTCTGCTCAATATTACAATATAACTAAATAATATCAATCAATCACCCTCACACATCATATGAACATTAATTCACTGTTCATTAATAAACATAATTTTAATTATTCGTCACTTTCAATCACCACTCTTCTACTTTTACATCAAATCAATTTTAATTATTATATTTTAAATACTATTTTAATACTAACTCAAATATAACTCAATTAGCTTTTTTAAAGTTAACTTTAATTATCCAACAAATTGAATCAAATCTAAAATAACTTCTACTCAATCACCTCCTAAGTTATTTTGAATTTGGCTGGATTTATTGGATAAAGTTAGTTAATTTTGATAAAAGATGATTAAGTTTGGTTTGATTGAGATATTGAGTTTGTATTTAAAATAATATTTAAAATATAATTGTTAAATTTGATGTTATGTAAAAGTATGAGATATGTAATTGGAACTAGTGTGTACCCCGTGCGATGCACGAGAACAATATTAAATTAATAATATTATAAATAGACCTCGAGTTTGAGTCACTCAATGGCGGAAGTGGAAACTATTATTGATCCTATTTAAAAAGAGAAAGAAAAAAAATAATTATAAATTAAAGAGGAGGATAAACAATACTTAATAATTATAAATTAAAGATTCGGGTTCAAACAATGTAAAACAATTTTGTATAAGAGAATATGAAATTTACATTAGTTTGTATAAGAGAATATAAAATTTGTATGTTGAATATTAAAAACACCTAAAATATTATATTAGTATATGTAAAAGTATTAAAAATTTTCTATATTATTTTTGAAAGATGTGAAGTCACCTATAACTTTTCTAAACAATTTTAGAAGGAAAACATATCTAAAAACATTTGAATTGGTGTAAAAAAGATTTTTATAGACTATTTTGTAAAGAAAACATGTCTACAAATATTTAAATTTAACATCAATTATGTATATGTGTATATGTATATATATATATATATATATATATATATAGACCGATATGTAAAAAAAATGTCTACACAATTTGTTTAAAATATCTAAAATATTATAAGCATAATTTAAAAAAGACATTATGTCAGATGATACTGAATTTATGGGCGTTACTTCCATCTAAAAAATTTGATTATACACCATCGATGATGTATTGTTAGCTTATAATATTTGTAAAAATATTAGTAATTAGACCAATGAAAATTAGCTTTTTAGAGTAGATAATGGATTTCTAGTAGTAATTATAAATTTGTTTTTATTTTATTTTATTTTTTTTAAATCTTTATAGATAAGAGATGAGATTTTTTAAATATGCAATGGGATTTTGTAACAGATAAGAGATAAACTATGAGATTTTATAACGCGATTTTCAATACCCAAAAATACACAATTAATCTGCCGATTTTGTTGCCTTATCAATATTGTCCAACAATTACTATATATAGGATACATTTAATGTATTTGGCGGGAAAACATTTCTAAAATTGTAAAAAGGTTATTCTTTTTATATAATGATAGATTGATGGGTAGTTAAAATTATGTGAGTGGATGAATAGTGAATGAAAGTTGATGTGGTGTGTGAGATGATTGATTGATAGCATTTAATTATACTGATAATATTGAGAAAAGTTGGGTTGTGTTAAGTTTGAGTTAGATTTTGAGTTAAAATAAATTATCTGGTCAGTCGTAGCTGAATATTTTGTATCCAATTACATTGATTCAGGTGTGACACTGGATCCCCGGGTCGATTACTATTAGGTAATTAATTTTATATTTTTTTATCATATAATTATACATTAAATAATCAAATAAATTATTTATGCGTAAATATTACCTTAAAGTCTAAATAATACTGTGTCATAAATATGTACCACAAATATATATATATTATTTTTAAAAATGAAAAGGTAAAAAAATAATGACTGAGTCAAACTAAGTTGACCCAATCAATTCAATACACAGGTCGACCAAGTCAACGCAATGTTGACCGGGTCCCTTGTTACCTGGTCTGAAACAATCTACCCAGATCGATCTCGGGTTAACCAGTCAAGCCTGTCTAAGTTTTAAAATTGATATCAAGGGTGATGTGTTTTGTAAAATAATGAAATTAAGATTGCATCAAACGTTAGTCAAACTTTAGATAATTCTACTTGAATATAATATAAGGTTATCTAAATAAAATATTTGGACAGGTTCTACACATGCGAGAATATGTACACTGTTATATAAAAATTATAAATTTAATATACAAATAAATTCATCTAATTAGAATATTTGAATGGATTCTACTCATGGGAATATGTACACTTTAATATACAAATTATTATATACATGCCATATTACTCTTCTTAACTTTTTATCTTCATATAGGATAAAGTACAACATTTTCTGTAGCATCCCTAGCTTTGGGATAGATCGATGCCTGTGAAGATAAAAGAGAAAAAGTAATAACATAATTATCCTAATAAATAATTAAATATTAACACATATATAGATCAAATTGCACTCTAAATCGCCACTGTCCCCAAGTTCAATTCAATTGTTACAACTCAGTCAAATAAAATCATCAACATCAGATTTTTGCACAAGAATCATCAACAGAAACTGGAAAACAATAGATTTACTCAGAATGCATAAGAATGAGAAATACAAGAACTTGCTCCTTAACACCCAAGAAGTTAGCATAATAACATTCACAGCCTGCAACTGGAAGAAAGTACACCTAAGAGACAGTTAAAAAAAAAAAATTACAGCAAAAGGATAAAATCCTTCGAAAGCAAAACATTCTACGTTCTCAGTTACTAGAAGTTACCAGCTTAGCATGCCCAAAAATCCCCTAAAAAACGAAACTTTGCAGAGGGTTAATTAGGATGCATCTTCATGGAATTGGGCCAACCCATGTTCGAATACATGGGCATACTCTGTACGGGCCGTCCAGCAGGATAAGGGCCCGACCCATGTTGATGAAGAGGAGGACTACTATTGTTACCACCATTGTCTTCACCCGACTCGCTCGAACCACCAGGTGAAGGCGGGCTGGCCTCGGTTGCTCGAGCACCGAAATTCAGCATATTCGAAGATGGAGGAGGAGTATTAGCAACAGCTGAAGACGAACCAGTTTTCGGTTTTTTGCCGTCTGCAATAAAGCTCCCAACCACAACCTGCAAATAAGTCGTAAGTTTTTCCTATAATTTTTTTAAAAAAAAACTCAACTCAAGTCTCCTCAATATTATCAATATAATTAAATAATCTTAATTACTCATCACTTCCAATAACATCAACTTAAATATTATTTAAATATAAACTCAAAAATCTCACTCAAACCAAACTCAATCAATTTTTTTTTTTTTCAACATTATCTCACTTTATCCAATAAATCCAATCAAATCTAAACTAATTTGTATTCAATCAGGCTGGAAAGGTGATAGCAAAATAGTGGACATGATAATAACGAGACTACCTGGACAGGTGATGCGGCTTTAAGCATTCCAGCAACCCCACCACCCAACACTCGGCCATCTGTTCCAGCTAACGACACACTCAGACTGCCACTCCTACTGTGGGCCCCATTACTTTCCGACGTTAAGAACGAACCAGACAAAGAGATTATCTCGAAGCGCCCCTGTAAATAGATGATTGGCTCCATTAATGCTCAGGCAAAATGGTTAAATGTAATATTGTAATTTGTAACTACCGAATAATCCAGCCATTTCACTAGTTTTAATATCTATTTCAAGAAATGCCTCAAAACCATCGGGTAATTAAGTGCAAAACACGTTGAGAACTGAAACAGATAGTCCTGTTAAAAAATTCCAAATGTTCCAATTCATGGTCCAAAGGTTAAAAGATTTTCTTATCGACTATTGTGATTAATTGTTCGATTTATGACATGTATCACTTATGCATCCAGTTCACCAGTACTCTTACCCCACAACATCACCTTATTATGTATATGGACATGTATTTAAGTTTACAAAACATACTATATGGAAAATCCTAGGTCCTAATCCATATAATACTGCAATTTTCATAAATAAAGGGTTCATAATTATGAGATAAATGCAAATATTCCAACCTTATTTCTAATATACTTTAGTTTACTATACTGAATACTTGAACAACTTAGATAAGCCTGGGAGAAGTTCAGTTTTTACTGTGTTGAATACTATATTGAATTGAAGATTCATACATTGATACTTTGATGACTAATTTTGCAGCCCATTCCATTTCCGAAATGAAAGGTGGACAGTGAGTCAGTGACATTACGGTAATTTACAACACGACCACCTCAACCAATGAATTGTATCCTCTCGTTTTCACTATGTCATAGATTAGTAATAATCACATGTCCAACAAATCCAAACATCAAAATAACAACATAATAATAAAAACTAGAAAAATAAGTGAAACATATCACTAAAAAAAACGAAACAAAGGCAAAAAAGAAAAAAAAAAATCAATGAGAACAAAGAAGTAGAAGCAAAGGCGTGAACATAAAAAAGAAACAAGACAAAGAAAGACTAAAATAGTTTATGATCGGAATGCAGGGGTTGCTGTAATATACATTGCTGGATCTGAGAGCCAATTAAGAAACTTCTCTCCCTATTGCAAATAAAAATGAACCAAATATTCATGAACAAAAGCTCCTTTAAGATTGTTGGGTTCTATTTCAGCTCGTTTGTTCAATATTTGAGATCAATATTGTATAAACACAACCTTGTTCCCCAATATTATTGAGTGTTTGCTAACACTAATTTAACACACAACTAATACAAATCAATACAACAACAAAGCATTTATCCTTATCAAAAAGCAAAACATTCAAGTTCAAACAAATTAAACTCAAGTTAATCAAACAATATGAACAATCTTGTTAAACTAGACAAGCCAAACATGAACAGAGCCAAACCTAAGGACAAAAGAAAGAATGAGAATATTTACTTTCCTCGAACAAATTAGAGCACAAAATTCTCAATCTCATTTTAACTCAACCAGATTATAGCTGTATCTATGGGTTACTTAACCTCCAAAACTTTAGCTATGCTGCCATGCACAATCACACAAAAAAAATTGCATCACAAAGTAAAATTCTAGAAAAATGTGGTTAGATGCACCCCTTAGTTACCCCTTTAACTACGATAAAAAATACACACGAAATTTCACCAAAATACCCTAATGAGTATCTAACATATAATGTTCACCATATCTTCAAAAGCTTGATGGACCTCATTAACTCAGTTCCATCCAAAAACCATTCAAGAAGATCATACGCATACCTATGAGTAATCATAAAATGTTGATCACTAATAGAAATGAACCCCTGCAGTATTTATCTGCCAATCTGGATCATTTGCACATACACAGACACACAGGCATACATTACAAATTTGCAAGAGACATCGATGAATCATCAGTGAATCCAAGATAAGCCTCATCCACAGAAAGGTTATTCGCTAATACGCACCTCATATGTCACTGTGCCGCCAGACATTGCTGGCTGGCGAAGAGTAACGTTACAAACAGCACCATTAGCAGATAGAATGCAAACCGTGCGTGGTCCTTGCTGCGCGAAAGCCATGATTTTTGATGCTATGTCCTACAATACGTGAGATCAAACAAAATATTAGGATCACCTAATCAACTTTTTTTTTTCTTCAGCTGATGCATAAGTTGATCTACATTCCTATTGTCATTTATAGGAGCTCTAAAATATATCTGAGAGCAAAACTCAAACAGACTCGCCTAGCCATTTATTGCTTTTGCTTTTTTTCAAGACAATGGGAAGAGAGATGGTCAGTGTCCCTGTAGCATCACCAATAACATAAAAAGGCTAGTAGATGTTGGTTTCCCAGTTTCATAACTTATAAGAAAATATAACTTCAGAACAAATCTACTGTTCTGTAAGCATTAACACCTCAACATAAACGCACATGAGAGTGAGGCTGTTAGCTAGGCCAGGGTTAGTAAAAAAGGCCCTAACTCATCTCTTTGAGCCCAATACAACCTCTAATGCATAAGTACAAGATAAAAGGCAAGAAGTAAATAGTTAAACTTGGATGTAAGCCTGAAGAAACCAACCCTCACACTAATTTGTAAGAGATTTAACATTTTTTGATAGCTCAATATTGACCATGCCCAGATTCTGACCTTTGCTACATTGAGATTGTGAGAGGACATGCCCTATAATTGACTGCAAGTCACCATCAAATAACAATACACCCACTCTACATCTTAAACATCGTGAAACATTACAAGGCTATATTCTCCAAAACTACGTTTCTTGTTGGAACTACCTTCACATTGAACATTATGGTATAGTGTTGTTGCCATGGAAAAACTAGGGAGTTGAGTATCTAATTTTACAGAAACTATTAAACTAACTTAACTTTTTATGATCAAAACAATTGCCTTAATCTAAGGCTGATTAATATAAAACTACCGTAATTTCAACAAAGGGTAGCAGTCCTATAAGATTGTGGAAATTCGGTAAAGGCTTCTATAAAAATCGTGATTGAATCTTACAGTAAATAACGAATAGCATTAAAAACTAAAGCTTACAGTTGTATCATAGAAGTATCAGTAAAAGAATGTGATTATTTTAAGAAATATTGAGAAGTAGGGCTCACCTCTCCTACTTCCACTGTAATTACATGAGGTGTAAAACCAACTCCTGGAACCCCTGGCCACCAAGAAACGACACATTTGCGTTACAGGAGTGCATTTGATAAAGAAAACCGCATCAGCGAAAAAAAATGTGGCAGAAATGAAGTATAAACATAGACAGGAAGAGCATTTGATCAAGAAACCTAGCGCATCCATCTGCTTTTTCACAGAACCCGGTGGCCTTCCGCGGTTGCGTTTGCCTGACGTGTCAGCAGAAGGGCCCCCGCCGGAATCCAAATGGCCGCCGCCGCCGGCAGCAGAAGGGGAAATCTGGCTGGCAGGCGCGGGGGACAGACCTAGGCCGATGCTGTTGTCCGGCGAGTACTTCCTGGGCCGCCCCCTTTTCTTTCTGGCCGGCTCGATGTTGAACCAGCCGCCCCCGGCACCGCCGCCTCCGCCGCTGGCGGAAGGGGACCCCTCGGAGTACTGATGATCCATGGGTTTGGGGACGGGAGGGGCGGAGTTGAACGGAAATCGAGGGTGGTTCTGTTGATGCATCATTGGAGACGCGTTCGCCGCTGCCGCCGCCGCCGCCGCGGCAGCTGCGGCGGCAGTTGCGGCGGAATTGTTGTTGCTGTTGGGCAGTGGGTACGGCATGTTGGGCGGATGCAGTTGGGCTTGTGAGTGTGGGCCCATTATCACGGCGTGGTGGGATGGCAGCGGCGGCCCGGGGTGGTGGTGCTGGAAGTGGTGGTGGTGGTGGTGGTGGGGTGGCGGAGCCGATGAGTCTTGAGAGTCCATGGGTGTGGTGATGAGGGAGAATCTAAGGTAAATACTATTGTTTAATAGTAAAATATAAGGGAGATTTGAGAATGCAGATTGATTTGGAATCTAATTTACGACGACTCATGTAGAGAGAGGAGAGAGACAATCTGCGGAGGTCAAGAGTCGGGCGATCTCAGGGGAGAAGAGGGCTGTGTGGGAGGTTTTAAAATTAGGGTTTTGTCAATTGGAACCAAAAGTGAGTAATTAGGATAAATTGGAAAGAATTATTAGAATGATTTAGAATAAAAAAGGTCATTTTGTATAGTATTTGATAATTTGATGTTCAATTGTTAG